TAACAAAAGAGACCTGAAGTTTGTCTTTATCCCATTTATGCTCAGCTTTCCTGCACTAGCGTCTGGCTGCTCGGGTGGTCGCATTTAACCAAGGGTTTTGAGGTTAATCAACGAGAGTCGATATGACACTCGTGGTGGTTTCTTTTTAGGTGGCAGTGAACGTGGGTAGAGCTTCCCTGTTCCCTTTTTCTTATCATCGGCTTGGGAGCACCTCCATGGATGGGGAGGGTGACCAGTAGGGGTGGGTGATATGACTCAAATATAATATGATATTTTAGAACATTCTGGCAATAACAATACATTTTGTGATCTAACAAAAAATAAACAGAAATCATAGTTATTCATTTGACAAAATTAACTTAACATGATGCTTTGCAGTATTGTATAAAAACAAACAACAAGGGTTAATTTTACTGCAATTACTTTATTTAGTAAAGTATTCGGTCTCAAAGTATAAAAATAAAAATCAGAAATTATCCTTCTGTTATTGAAATGGAAAAATTCTGCACAAAATAAAGAGCAAAATCCACCACAAAAACAAAAGTGCAGGTGCAGTTCCCCCAAAAAACCTAAATAAAATAAAAGCTTATGACCTACTGAGCATAAATGTAACGCAACAAAAAAAGTTGCCTTTTTTAAATGCAGTATATTCATTCAGCCTTTAATTATACAGGTTAATCCCATTGAGCCTCAGGGACTCATTTGCAAGAGAGACCTGACTTTTTACAAAGAGTGATGACAACAATAGACAATCATAAAGGATGCATACAAATTTAAATTATTACTTTTTTAACCAATGAAAATAAAATGGTAATTAAAAGGATAATTAAAAGGAAAAGTGGCGAAAAAAAACAGCTATGATACAGCTGAGCTGTGAGTTGTTTGTACTGGCAGTTTTCGAGTGGGGAGGCGGGGTCATCGTGAGGGAAGAGGCACTTGAGTGATGCCTTTGGCTTTTTAGCTAGCTATTCTTGCACACGGCAATCTTAGTGTTACGCCAGTACTGACAGGTGTGGGGGGGGGTTGCACAGTTCGGTTCGGTAGTTCGGCGCTCTCGGTTCTGTTAAGGAGTGGAGTGCCCTGCATGTATAATGGTAGGGGAAACACTGACGTATTTATGCCATGAAATTAGCATATCATGATATAATTTTTTTTCCTGGGCAAGTTTTTTTTACTGGTATGATCGTGAATGATATGATATAGCCCAGCCCTAGTGACCAGTTCTGGTTACTTTTCACTTCACTGGATTTGTTTGCAAGATCTGGCAAACCAAAAGAGCTGTGACATGAATGCTGAATATCACCACAAGGGATTTGATAATCTGGCAGTGTGGCTGTGAGCATGAGGCTTAAATAGTACTTGGAACAGGTGGACACAATTAACCTGATTGTGTGGAGGTGCAGAGGGGCGTGGCTTGAAAGCAAGGCTTGATCAGCGCATGATATAGAAAAAAACAGAGCATGACTTGGCAGAAATGTGACCGTAACATCTCCATCTGAAGCAGCAGCCCTTGTGGATGAATTTGTGTTGACACACAATTTACTTCGTACCACACAAGGTCATTTATAATGAGGATGATCCAAAACATGGTTGTTTGCCTTTGTTTGGGGCTTTAACCCACAAGCCCCAGCAACACTTTGGTTATAAGGGACCAAATGAACCAGTTAATCAAAATACCTGTAGATATTGTTTAGTGGAGGGTCACTGGAAGGAAGAGTGTTCCCTACGTAAATCCAAAATGTCAGGTTAAGCCTGCTGTAATGGCAACTTCTGTCCTAAAACAATTTGTTGTTTATCTGAAACTGGCTTCTCCACTTGGCCTTGGAATGGTCAACTTATCTCAAATTGCTCCTAGAGGATATGTAAATCATGAAGCTCTGCCCCCCTCCCTGCCCTGCACTTAACTGTGCAATGACAATAAAGTTTATTCTCATTCCCATTGCAGTTTCTGGCCATCGGGGTGAGTTTTTTTCAGTCACATGTTAGCTCTGGTTCTCATTCTAATGCTTTTTCTGCTTTCATTTCAGATGGTGTCGTGTCGTTGGTTGGTGATGGCATACAAGCCCCAATCAAAATTTTGAGAGATATAGGAGCTTTATATTTTATTTTGGAATCTGTGTTGCCATGTTCTCCTATGTCCATGCTAGTGGTTTTGTTCTGGTACAGGGCATGGGTCTAGTTCCATTCTCTTCTCCTCTACATCAGATTGTTTTAACATGCGATCTGGTAGAAGGTTATGTCGTGGTAGGTATACGATCCCGTTTGCCAGTAGAGGGAGTGCACATGATTTTGGGAACTAACCTGGCAGGGAGTGCAGTGTAAGCAGATGGAAAACCTAAAATCTTCAAAAAACAACTTTTGGTGCCCCCTGTACATCCATTTCCTGCCAATACCATGGTCCTTAAACCAGGTACTGGTAGCTTTGGCACTGTGTGCATGTGCCAAGTCCTGTTGGAAAATGAAATCTGCATCTCCATAGCAGCAGGAAGCATGGAAGTGCTCTAAAACTTCCTGGTAGACAACTGTGTTGACCTTGGACCTCAGAAAACACAGATGACAAACACCAGCAGATGGCATGGCACCCCAAACCATCACTGACTGTGGAAACCTGACACTGGACCTCAAGCAATGTGGATTCTGTGCCTCTCCTCTCTTCCTCCAGACTCTGGGACCTGGATTTCCAAAGGAAATGCAAAATATATTTTCATCATAGAACATAACTTTTGACCACTCTGCAGCAGTCCAGTCCTTTTTGTCTTTAGCCCAGGCGATACAATTCTGATGCTGTCTCTTGTTCAAGAGTGGTATGACATAAGGAATGTGACGACTAAAACCCATGTCTTGCATACATCTGTGCATGGTGGTTCTTGAAGCACTGACTTCAGCTGTAGTCCACTCTTTGTGAATCTCCCCCACATTTTGGAATGGGTTTTGTTTCACAAGCTTCTCCAGGGTGCGGTTATCTCTATTGTTTGTATACTTTTTTCTACCCCATCTTTTTTCCTTCCCTTCACCTCTCTATTAATATGCTTGGACATAGAGCTCTGTGAACAGCCAGCCTCTTTAGCAATGACCTTTTGTGTCTTGCCCTCTTTGTGCAAGGTGTCATTGGTTGTCTTTTGGACAACTGTCAAGTCAGCAGTCTTCCCCATGATTGTGTAGCCTACAGAACTAGACTGAGAGACAATTTAAAGGCCTTTGCAGTTGATTGAGTTAATTAGCTGATCAGTGTGGCACCAGGTGTCTTCAATACTGAAACTTTTCACAATATTTTAATTCTAATTCTCCTAATATTCTAATAATAACAATATTCTAATTTTCTCAGATATTTAATTTGGGGTTTTCATTAGTTGTCTGTTATAATCATCAACATTAAAATAAACATTTGAAATATATCAGTGTGTAATGAATGAATAAAATATACAAGTTTCACTTTTTGAATGAAATTATTTAAATAAATAAAAGTTTTTCATGATATTCTAATTTTATGCCCTGCGTCTGTATACATCTGAGAGGCTGAACCCATTAAACAAAGATTTTATATAGCATCTGAGGAGAAGAAACAGTTGGAAACGGAGGTAAAATATATGTTGGAAAATGGTATAGCTGAACTATGTTTTTCAAATTGGGCATCACCCTGTCTTCTACTTAAGAAGTCTGACTCAAAATTTAGACCTTGTACTGACTATCGGGAAGTACTGTACATAGCATTACTAAACCAGATCTTTTTCATCTCCCTAGGATGGAAGACTGCATAGACCAAGTTGGGTCAGCACAGTATGTTAGTAAATTCAGTCTTCTAAAGGGTTATTGGCAAGTGCATTTGACCAAAAGAGCTTGTGAAATAGCTGTGTTCAAAACTCTATCTGGTTTGTGCTCATACAAAGTAATGCCCTTTGGTTTGAGGAATGCTCCCACCACTTTCCAGCAGCTGATGAATCTGGTTGTGTCAGACGTGGAAAGTTGTGCTGTGTATCTTGATGATGTGGTCATTTACTCAGATTCTTGGGAGGAGCATGCCCAGCGAACAAAAGCTTGTTTGGAAGACTGGTGTGGGTCAGGTTGACCATTAATTTGGCAAAGAGTGAGTTTGCCATAAACTGATGATAGGTTAAGTATAAAATCTAACAAACAAAAGTAATAGTCTGTTTCCATAATGAGTGGAAAGTTTTGATTTATGCATGGCTACAAGTGTGCCAAACAGGTCTCAGTTGTAAATGAGTCTTTGAGGCTCAATGTGATTTATCTGTTTAAATAAAGGTTGAATGAATGAATGTGCAGGAAAATAAACAAACGTGACTCTTCTGTTAGAATATAGTAACATCCAAGTTAGTTTTTTTTTCCTGAACCTCATTAAGCATTAGTTTCTGGGAGTGGTACCTCAGACACGACCCCAGCAGAAACTAATCTGCTCCTCTGGAGGAATCTCCAAACTACAGGTTGTTTATTTGATGTCAGATCTTTTGGTGGGCTTTAATTGACTTAAAGAGAAACAGGAACTTCTGGTTAAGGCAAGAGTAATGAAACTCGGCAGTGTCTGAGTTTCCACCCTGAACAAAAAGAGAGGCTCCACACTTTGAGACAGGATAATCAAAAAGCTAAAAGTTTCATTTGAGCCAGTATTGTAATGTGGTTCTGGGAACCTGATGAACAGGATGGAGGTGGGTGGGTAACAGTACTTATGTGGTCACACAAGGGGCAGGATTGGGATACTTTCACTGGCTGGAGTTACTTTGCCTCCTAAACTTTACACAGACGAGAAGTTTCGATAAGGCATGTGGACGTTGCTTAGTTATTGCGCTCTGCTTCTTTTTTCTTTTTTTTCAACTTAAAAAGCGGATTTGTTGAATCTGGTTTGGAAAAGTCCAAAGTCTGGGTCATTTTAGGAGCATTGCAGTGCCAATAGTTACACAGCTCTGATTTCCCTCCTGTCATTCGGGTCACACCAGGTAAATTCTCTTAAAATTTTATTTTTTACAAAAAAGAGCTGTGTAAATAAAATGTCAACCACACATTTGCAGCTGCTTTGCCCCAGCCTCCTGCTCCTCAACACGGAGCGGAATGCTCCATTAGCCGACGGCTCGCATCAGTCCCCCAGCACCCAGAGTTTTCGATTTGGCTCCTTTGACTTTTTCTGTGTCCTCCTCTTCATCTTCTACCAACAGAGCCTTATCGAGTCAGAGCACCACGCGACTTCCCAAAGAGAAAATGTCCAAGAACGGGATAATGTCCCTGGCCAAGGTGCTGACCATCGACACCATGAACCCAACCGTGAAGAAGGTGGAGTACGCCGTGCGGGGACCCATTGTGAAGAGAGCCATGGAGCTGGAGAGGGAGCTCAGTCAGGTTAGTGGAATCGGTACCACTTTACAATAAGCCTCCCCTTATAGATGGAAAATAGTTTATAGATGCGTTAATTCCTCTATAAACACTTTATAAATAATTTATAATTGTTTATTATTCATTAATTAAGGGTGACGGAGACAAAACTAGCCATTTCCTTGCCAAATAGTGAGCCAAATCTTTTCACCTATCCATTTCATGTATTGTTATATTAAACATTTCAAACTAAGTTACTACCTTGTAAAGCACAATAAGCATTTGTAAACATACTTCTTTAGCATATAATGCACTTTATGACTGCATTACAAGTATCTACAACTAATATTATATCCTACCATGGAATCTATACCATCTGGATCCTCTGTCTTCCCTCTCCTTTAAGTCCACTTAAAAATGTCTGTCCTCTTTTAGATTGTTCAATTTAGGAAGCTCAAGTGTTTTGTGATGATCAAGATTTGCTCCAGATTCTTTTTATTGTCATTTTAAAGCAACACCATCACGGTCTCTTGTAAATGAGTCTTCGAGGCTCAGTGGGAACTAAGCTGTACAAATAAAGGTCTAGTAATAATAATAAAGGAAGCAGTTTTCTCTTCAAAGACCATAAATTAGTTATTAATTTCTAAACTTGATTTTTATTGATAAGGAATATCAAAGTTGATACTGTGAAGTAGATCTTTAATTCTTTTATAAAATACTTTTTTCTTTGTTTTAGCTGGTTTGTATTATCTGCTTTTATTTGAGGTTCACTGTCCAACCTTTAATTGATTTACATAGGTTCTGCTTGCATTTATTGATTATCCTAAACTAAAATGTTTGTTTCTTTTTCATGTTCCAATCTTGATTTTAACACTAACTCCGTTGTAAATGGAGGGTTTGGAGGCAGAACCCAATGGTGCAGGCAGGACTTGGAGACTCAATGGTTAAATTAAGAAATACTTTTAATAAACACAAAACAAATGAGCTGGCGAGGCAGCTGTACTTGTATAAATACTAGAAAACATGTAGGAACACGAAGGGACTCAGGAGGGATTGCCAGACGAATACAAGTCGATCCCCAGACAAGGAATAACACCAAGACACAGACTTGTATACAAACACTGATGAGGACTAAACACAAAACACCTGTCAAGCTCACAGGTGTAGGAAAGGGGAAATCACACGAGAGGAAACAGGACAGAGACACACCACTAGAGGCACAATTACCACAACTCACAAGTTCAGCATTTATATAAAAGAAAAAAAAAGTTTTTAGTTTATCATAAAGCATTTATTTTCCAGTTGTCACAAATTATCAAATCTGAGGGTTTTTTTTGTCTCTCTCAGAGCTCAATCTTGCTTTCACTCTGTTTGTGGCAGCTGCTAATGAGTGCAGTCTTGTGTAAAAGAAAGAAACAACTTCTCTCTTGAGTGTGTTGCTCAGGAAAGGATGGTTATGTGAAAGAGTTCTGCAGTGCTGACCAGCAGGGGCTGAAATGATAGTGGTAACTTTTTCAGCAGATAATTCACTGGTCCCAACAATGTTCTGTTTACTCTGACTGAGCCTTGTCCTGAACTGATCCCACTCTTTAATCAGACCTTCATCCAGTTCATTTATTTATTTTTCTCAAAATACAAGAATTTCACCAGGCGTTTTTGATGTTTTAGTGCTCAAAAAGCAGAAGATATGAGCTGGAGCCAGCTAGTAAAACCCAGATATGACTCTGAAGGATTTGTTGCAGTTTTAGTGGAGACGTGATGCGATGCTCTTAATATTTTACAGCTGAGGATATATAGCTATTGATTGGGTTTTAAATCCAGGACAGAGGAAGTTCAGCAAGTTTTTTTTTTCACAAATGGCTCCAGAAGACTTGCATTAATTTTCAGCCCTCTCCTTTGCAGAACTACTAAACTGAGCAACTCTTATTCTAATTTTCAGTAGCACAAACTTCGCTTCCACTTTATCCAGCTTTGTTCTGGATGGTGTTGGGTTACTTTAGGAAACAGGTGTCAAGGTAATGTGTATTATTTGCACTCACCATGTTCCATAACCTTTCTGCATATGTACTGTGATGTGACTGATAATAAACTGTCCCGTCTAATAATCACTCTTACTGTCACCGGTCAGTGAGGAACAGAAAGAATTAGAAAGTTCCTGGGGACTGCCAGGCTGCTGCCGATTTAAATTGTTGAGATGACAGTACTATCCAACATTTTTCAGTCAGGTCATCTGGACAGTTTCTTTATTTGTGCTAAAATGTTTCGCCTTCGATCCGAAAGGCTTCATCAGTCAAGGAAACACACAACACAAAACTGATTCTTCCCCCAACAGTTTACTCCAAAGTGGAACAAACCAGTTATGTTGGTGCTAAGATGGTCTCTTTGTCACGCCCCCTTCTCCATTGCCGGCCCTCTTCCTTGTTGACAGTTGTGTCAAACTAGTTGAAAACAACAAAGTCCATGCTCAATAATCCAGGTGTACAATCCAACATTTGGATTCAATGTTTGGAACCATTTTGATTCAAGATGGCTGCCACAGCTACCTCGGCAAACACAAAATTAATTTCCAATGGGGAAACATGGCGTATTTGTTAGCAAAATACGTTGCCATAGTAACTCCAATTACCAATAAAAGTAATAGCTTCCTTCTTGAGAAGGAGCCGGTCATTTTGATATAACGTTTGTGGGCGTACACGTTGCGGTTTGGGCTGCATTAACGGAGACGTAAGAAAAATATATAAACACTTAGGTGTAGAATAATAGATGCCTTCCATGCATTGCATGGAGGCAGTGCATTGCTTTACAAGTGCACTGCTCTCCTATGCATTGCAATGACGGTCCCCAACTAGTTTTTAATATGCTCAAGGTTTGATTGATATGGATGTGATATGGTGACATGTCCTCAAGAAGTCAGATTTTCCTTCTCCCTGACTGCAGCAGAGTTTGATGACGGCTCAGGCAGGGAGAGGAAGGGCTGAGGGCTGGTGCCGGAAGTAATTACTTTAAACTAATCACAAAAAAAAAACTGTTAAATCATGTCATCTGGACAGTTTTTTTTGTGGTTTTTTTTGAGAAATGATTTGTCTTTCATCTGAAAGACTTCGTCATTCTGAGGTCTGCCACCAAGAACTTATAACTAGCAACTTATTGATGTGTTTCAAACCAGTCTTCTGTGGAATTCCAAGAAATTGGCTTTACACGTGCAAAATGGAGTGCCATCAGTCCAAAACAATCATTCATCATGTACAACAATCAAATGTTTTACAACTGATGGCCAACTGGCTACTTACAGAAACAGCCTGAGGACACCTGGCCAAAAAGTTTCAGAAAAAAGGTTTGTAAGCTCGGCCATCCAGGTGAATCAAACAAACAAAAAAAGATTACATCATGTCATCTGGACATGACATCTGTGGTCTACACATCTGCAAGCCAGCAGTAATTATTTCAGGGATGAAGATGTTCACATCATTGATAGAGAGGAACGATGGTTTGAGAGAGGCATGAAGGAGGCCATCTTTGTGAAGAGCTGTCCATCATTAAACAGGGGCGGAGCCTCCGTGGTCAACTGTCCCCCTCTTACAATGCTGTGATTGCTAGTATCACTCAGCCCTCAGTGAATAGTAAACAGCCATCAGGGTGCTAATGATCCATCCTTAGGCTGATGGTCCTCTTGATTATGTGAACAGCTGGTTCTGGATGTCAGCATCAAACTGGTTGATCTACTATGAGAAGGTACTATTTATAAGGTTCAAGGTTCTTTATTATCATTCACATCACATGTGATACATGAGGTGGAATGAAATTGCATACTCAAGGTCCCAGTTACACCCAAAAATAGCAAAAATATAAAGTATAAAAAGAAACGGCATATAAGGATCTTAAGATGTACACTAAACACTAATGTAAAATAATACAGTATGTTAAACAGCAGCCCGAACATGAGTCTGTAGTGAGCAGATAGTTATGAATACTGCAGCATAAAGGCAAGAAATCAGCAGTATGGATAATCAGCAGCACAGATAAGTCACATTACCAATTAAAAAAAATGAACTGCCACTATGACCTGCCACCAAGAATTGTCTTATAAATTCAGTTCAGTTTACATATAGCACTAAATCACAACAGAAGTCATCTCAGGGCACTGTACAGAAACATTCATAAAAAGGAACTAGCAGATTGCTTTGAGTCTTCACTTTATCGCAGTCTCCCATCCTGAGCAAGCACCAAGGCAACTGTAAATAAATAGCACCTTATCGATGTGTTTCAAATCAGTCTGTTGTGGAATTACCAGAAACTGGCTCTACACATGCAAAATGGATTTTTAAAAAATCTATGAAACTAATTTTTTCAGTTCAGGTAGTCAGAACGGTCAGCGTTTTCAGACAGGGAAGTATGACCTTATGAATGCATTGATCTATTGATTGATGTAACTGGCACCCTGTGTACACAATTTTGTTCCACCTCATGTACCACGTGCGATGTGAATGACAATAAAGAACCTTGTATCCTTGAATCTTTTGTGAATGCCAGCTATTCTCCAAAGCTTTGTCAATAAATCTGATGATACACCTTGGTCTGTTTTGGAAATCTCCTGTTTGCTGTTGATAAGATGCTTATTTTCTCACCTTCTCTGACTGAAGAAGTCCTTCAGATGAAGGACGAAATGTCTCAGAAAAAAAAAAGAAACCGTCCGGATGACTGACTGAGCACTGTTGGATTTGTACCTGGATTATTGAGCATGAATTGTTGGTGTTCATCTTTTTAGCTTCTGTTCACAAATTTTATCCTAATAAAATGCAACACTTTTTTTATAGTAAGTGATGGAGGACATTGAACTTCTGCCCTTTTGCAAAAATGGTTTGTTTCCAGAAGGGCGTCATCATGAATGGAGGGGTTCCTTCACAAAGGGGAGTTTCTTGTGTTTTTCAATGTTATTGGCTCAGCCTGAGATATGCCTCTTAAGTGCAACCAATGGCAGAGCCAACAGCCCAGGTTTCACAAGCTGTGCACAGGACTGTCCAAATCAA